TAGATGAATTTATCTATAATTTTCAGGCTTCTAAGTCTACTTGTTTTTGAGCTAAAAATAATAAAATATTAATAGTAGGAATGCAAACAGAGGTTAGACTCATCATTACAAAAATGAACAAGTGACAACAGGACCAATACATTTGTATAAGATTTTTTATATAAAAGATAAAATTATAATTTATATATTTTAAAAATAATAAAATTATGAAAAAATATTTAACAAATAAAAACAAATATTTAAAAAATAATTAATTATAAAAAAATATGAACTTGTGGATTTTTGTTAGTGTGTATATCATAATTTTATTATTTAATTTGTATATAATATATTTTATAAGGGAATTATAGAATGAATTCTACTGTAATTTTTATTTTTATTTTTAAGTTAGAAGTTGTCTTATTCTTTTTCAATTTTGAGTTAAATTAAAATTTTATTTTATATAATTTTTTAAGTAAGAGGTTTTTGAAAATTATATGTTTTGATTACACAAATTTAATATTACATTAAATTAATTAGTTAATAAAATATTTTTTATTAATTTTAAAATATATAAAGGAATAAATAGTGATCAATAAATTAAATTACATATATTAATAAATAAAAATAAATTATTAAATAATAAATAATCTATTGATAAAAGTTTGTTCAACAATACTATTTTCTTGTTTAATGTCTAGTGTTTTTTTTATTATTATTATTATTATGAATCTGTGCTGGTGAAATACATCTCCTATCATGTATGTATATGTAGATTTTATTTTCCCCATTTCATATTATCATTATCATTATATTATTATTAACATAATCTTTTTCACTTACATGGTATAGGCAACATATTGATTACCATTTCTTTCATCACATTATATTTTAGTTTTTTTTTTAAGTCATATATTGAAAATTTTAACTATTTTAAATTAACACCATAATTTTAACATAATGTAACTTAAATGACTACAACTGCTTAAGATGAGAATTGAAACACATTTTCATTGATATTTACAATTGTTGAAGATGATATAAAGGATATTTTTTAAGTAAACCTTATACATGATTATAAATTAATGAATAATAATATTACCAACCTTATAGTATAAGTGTGATACAAATAATTTATTACTAGTGAACAACATTCTATTTTTTAACTCATTTGATGTTTTTGTTTTAATAATAAAATATAAGAGAAGTTAACTGATACTTTTAACAAAATATGTTAAAGTTTTGATAAATATTTTATTGATTAAATAATTTTTTATTAAAAAAATGAATTTAAACCTAATATATATATATATATATATATATATATATATATATATATATATATATATAAATGTGTGATAACCAGTATTACTAGTATATATACTTTATTTTGAAAAGAACACAAGCCTTGTTTATATACATCTTCGTAAAAATTACGTTTGAAGGAATTAAACTATAATTTATTAAATAAGATATAAAATAAAGTATATCTTACAAACATGACTATCTTAAATTATTTAAAGAAAATGTTATATTTAAAAATATAATCAATAAAATTATAAATTTTATGTTTTATGTTGGATTAGAAGATGAATTTAACTGGAAAATGATAAATTTGAAGGGAAATAGTGCTTCATTTAGAAAAAAATTGATAAGAAATAAAAAGAAATAAAGAGGAAAATTTGTGAGTGACATGATTGGTTTAATAAATTAAAAAATAATTTAATTAATAAAATTTAAAAACTACAATTTTATCCTTGTCTTAAAAAATATTTTTAAATAAAATATAATTAGTGTAAATTATATTAAAATAAAATATAAGTTATTATTTAAAATAAAAAAAATTTAAATATATAAAATTATATTAAAATAGATTTTGTAAAAATTAATTGCAAATAAATATTTGATGATTACTTTAAATAAAATAATATTTTATTTTTAATTAATAATAATGTAAAAGAATATATGTTATTGTACCATATTTTAACATGATACATAATATAAAATTTCGCATGTGTTTTTTTTCTTTTAATAAAAAAAGTTGTCTCACGTTAAAATTATCCTAAAGTAATAATTAAAATTCACCTTATTATAATTTTTATTATTATAATAAATTTTATATAAAAATAATTATATAAAATAAATAAAATAAAAATAAAACTAAACACATTATAAAAATAATAAATTTAGATTCTTATTTTTCAAATACTGATACACCAACGATATTATTAATATTATTATATTACTGATATTTTTTTCTAAAATTAAAATCAATATTTATAATATTATTAGTATTATCTAATTTACATATTTTCTTCACTAAAATTTATAATTATATTATATTTTACAATTAACTTATAAATTTATATCAAATATTTATATATTATATAATATTTTAAATAATTAATAATTATAAATTATTAACTTTTATATGTTAATACCTAATACATAATATTCTTATTGATATTAATACTAAAAAAATATATATAATAAATATAATTTATTATTTAATAATAATAATAATAGTTAAATATAGGTGTAATTTTGTAGTTTTTTCTTTTATATTTAGTAAAAAATATATAAACCTAATAAATATATTATTCTTTAAAATATTCAAAATTCGATTTTTGTTGAATTAGAATTAACTCTCAATTGGTGAGAATCTATTCTCCAAGTTTAATGTATTATCACGTGACTTCGGTGAAATAAGATACAAATGATTCAGTTTCTAAGAATAGAAATTTAGGTTTTTAGTAAAGTAATACTAATATAACAATCAATCATGATAACCCAGGAAGTGTAAAGAATTATAAAAAGAGACCATATCAAATTGTTTTAAGATTTAAGATGATCTTGCTGTTGTAGAATAATCATGTTTATTCCTAGTTAGAGGTATATTTAGGATGATGGGTAATGTATGTAATATAAATTATATTATTGGATGAGTTTTTCTAATTTATTTTGTTGTTGTTTGTAGAATGTTGATATGGAAATATGACATGCAAATGAGATATTTTAAATCCACCTATCACTATAAATGATTCAAAACTTTACCTATCATTATACAAGGATGTCTTCGTGTTTAAAGGATATGAAAACAAATATTATTTTCAATGCACAAATCTTTATGAGTGAACCTATTATAATATCCAATTTGTAAGAACTTATTCTCCACACATAAAAGAAATGAGAATCGATTTTGCTACCATAGAGAATCGATCAATTATCTATGTCTTCAAAAGAAGGGAGAATTGATTCTCCATCAGTTCAAACATGCAAGAATCGATTCTCTCTGTCTCTCTCAACTAGTTTCTTGGTTAAACACCACCACCAACAATGAACACACACAAATTAACGTCAATCAACTCACCTCACACACAAGACAACAACTCACCCCACGAATAAATCTCTTTGATGTATTTAATGACACTTTCGCTTACTAAGATAGAGAAACAATTATAGTTACATGTGAGAGTTGTGGTTAAGATGCAACGATTCCCTGCATGGAAGGGATGCATGCAACCTCTCAAACGATTCCCTTATCGCCGCATACATGTACATAGTCACGTAAAACATTGCAGTTTTACACTATTAATAGATTCTGAAAGAAAGACAAGAGTGTAACTTCATTATTCTTCTCATTTCTTTCATTGTTTTTCTCCTTATAAACATGAGTCCTTCCTCCCCACTCTCCTCCGAATTCGTCAATATCTTTCTTCTTAAACATATACACACACCAATGATATAGGCTCCTCTGTATGCATGAATAATAAATCTATTGAAACAAATACAAACATTATTAGTTTTATTAAACCCTCCGTCAATAACCTACGGAGTCCAATTAAATAATTAATAATATAATTATAACTTTGTTATTCTCATATTATTACTTTGATTTTCTTTAATTTAGATTTAAATTTATTATATATATATATATATATATATTCAAAATCTGTTTTTATTATAATATATAATAAAAATATTTAAAAAATCTATTATCACTCGAATTCACAATAAAGTGTATTATCTAATTTCAATAAAAAAATGAAAAAACCTCACATAAGATTATATTACATTATTTATATTAAAAATAATTTAACATAAAATTATATTATATAACATAATTTATAATCTTTAAAATAAAAAAAAATTAACAACAACCCTATTTTTTATCTAAAACCTTAAAATGAATAAAAATAAAAACAGTAACATGACTTTTAAAACATTAATAAAAAAAAAGAAAAATTAATTCGTTATGATTTTTTAAAATTAAAATTGTATTTCTTTATGATTAAGTTGGATAAAATTTACTCCAATAATAAAAAAAATGAAATAGTACTAAACATCCACATCAAAATGTAGCATGTTAAAGTTTCAAAACTTTAAATTACTAAAACTATACTAGTTACAATGTAGTTTAAAATATTTTAAATTTTCTTAAATTAGAATATTTATATTATTTTAAAATATATAATAATACTAATATTATGTATATAAAATATAGAATGATATATAAGTATTATCTTATTATTAAATATATACTTATAGAATAACTGATATTTTAAGCATAAAAGAGATTAGATCGAATTGAGGTAATTTAAAATATAATCCTAAATCATCTTTAATTTAAAATGCATTATATTTAATTTGAAGTTATCACAATTAACTTTAAATCAGGTGTGATTAGCGTGGCTGAAAATAATAAACTATAGGTTTTAGTAAAAAAATTTGTTGTGGATCTTTATTGCTCCGACCGATCTTGGGCCCTACACTTCCAATCTTCACCTGTGTAGAAGTTCTGTGAGGAGAATTCAGGGTTTTAATATTCAATCTCGAATAGATGAAATTGTAGTTATCCAAAAATATAAAAACCCTTACAAAGAAATAGTGAAAATCTTCAGGGACAGTTGAAAATTGGAACATTAGAGAGAGGCGTGCAGATTTACATCAATTTCCTTCGAATTTAGATTCATTTGCAACCACGTTGCCCCTCTCCTACTCGCTCCATGTCGACGGCGGAAATGGAAACGGAACCTTCCTCCGATCGCATCGACTCTCTTCCACTGGTTGACCTCCGCCTCCTGTCTCAGCCTGAACTCTACACCCTCTCCCTCTCCGGCGCCACTCACCGCCACCGCCTCCGCAACGACGATTTCGTCATTCCGAAAATCGACCGTTCCAATTTCAACGAATCCGCTGGCAGCCGCAAACAGACCTATTCCAAACTCCGTCTCAACAAGCGCAAACAAAATTTCGCCGTTCCCGGCTCCTCCTCCCTCCACATTCCCCTCCACATTCCGGAGCCCGTCGACCTAGAAAACTCCCAAATTATCTATCTGTTGCAGCAACTCTTTGGCGTCGAGCCTCTCCGCAACGCACCGCGCCGTGACCGTGGCGATGTGGCGGACCTCCAACTGGTTCCGGTCCCGGTCGATTTCAAACAACCGCCTCAGGAGTCGGCGACATTCCAGAACCTTCCGATTGACGTCGTTGATTCTTCTCAGAGGAAGAGGAAGCGCGGACGGCCGAGGAAGAACGAGAATTCGGTATCGCTATTCGAGGAGGAGACGAGGAAGGTTAGAGGCGAGGGCAGGACAGTGGCGGCGGTCAACGAGAGGGAATTTGTTATGGACGTGGATGGTTTGGATAATGACCCGTTTGGGGAGGAGTTGAAAAGAAGGACCGAAGGGTTGGAGACGGAGCGGCAGTTGTTGGAATATTTGGAAACTTTGAATGGTGAATGGGCGAGTCAGAGAAAGAAGAGGCGGATTGTACCGGCCAGTGATCTTGGCGACTTGTTGCCTGTGGGATGGAAGATCATTATTACTCTTTTGAGGAGGGCAGGTCGTGCTTCTGTTGTTTGTCGCCGTTACGTAAGGTTTTTTCAATTCCTTTTCCTTTTCACACACTCTCTAATTGCATGCGATTGTTCTCGTTCTTTGACTGGTGCATCAATTTCAATGACTCAATACTTAGAACTATGATTTCATATTTTGTCTGGCTACTCGTTATTATGCGTGCTTGAAAACTGGGGAGCATTGTATAATGCTTATGTGCAAGGTTTTAAATTGCAACAGCGGTGGTTACCTGAGACATTGATGAAAATTGCGGACAAATGAGACTTTGGAAAGAAATTAAAATTATAGAATTTGATAAGATAATTTTAATTACTTAAAATAAGAGTATTTCAAAGTAAGAATTTGGTATTTTCCATTTTATTCTTTTCTCAAATTTATGTTTTTCTCTTTAGATTTTATGTTTTTTTCTCATTATTTCCTCCCGGACTCAATCTCGATGGAAATATTTTCTACTTTTCTCGCCCCGAGTCGACCCATCTCAATCTAGCATGGTCCAGGGCCTGACCCATCTTAACATGGTTCGAACCAACCATTTTGACCATCATCGAACTATCTGGACTTGACCATTGTTGATCTTGTCTATCCTACATTGACTTGACCTAAACTATCTCCATCTGGTCCAATTCATTCTGGTATGACATGTCCTAATCTAATCCAACACTTTCTGATTAGGTTCGACACAATTAGCCAAAGTAGGCTTGACCCACCCCGATCCAATTTATCCCAACTTAATTCATATGGGTATGATCCAATTCATCTTGATATGATCTCTCCTAATCCAATATATTTTGTCTTAGCTTGATCCATTCTATCTAATCTTGGTATGCCTTATTCGTTTACTACATGACCTATCCATTTGATCTCAACTCGACTCGACATAGTCCGATGAATCTAGCTTGACTCATCCCAACACAGAACCCGACTCATCCCAACTTATCGGCCTAATCCGACTTGACACAACCTTCCTGATCTAGAATAATTTGTTTTGATGAGGTCCGATAACCGATTTGGTCTATCTTGATCTTACTTGACATGATCTAGTTTGTCATGATTTGTCTTAGTCCAACCTTACCCATGTGAATAAAAGTAAAACACTATGAGTTGGACTTAATTCACAGTATAGTAGTGATTAATTTTATATGTGATAGTAATTGAAATAGTCTATCCAAACGATAAAATTAAATTTCAATAAATTTAAATTGTCTTATGCAAACAAAATCATTTGAAAAATTAAATTATTTTAAATGAAAGGGATTCAAATTTCGTAGAAATTACAAATTACCTCATCCAAACACAACATGAGACTTTTTATAACTTACTAAAAGTCAAGTATTGAAAAAGATACAAATTTTGATGGATTATGTTGTAGATTTAATTAGTACTTTTTAGTAGAATGTATAAATACCTCACTCATCTAACTCTCACTTAAACTTTGGAGACTATATTGGACTTTTCTTTCTCCCATTGCATATAGATAATTTCCTTTTAGCTGAAATTGATATATTATTTGGTCATATCTTGCACGCCTTCTCTGCAGCCAGGTAAATAGATCTATCTACTTTTTTTTGCCAGTGAACATTTGTGGAAAAATCCATTGTGTGCATGAATAACGCAGAAAGACTTTGGGTACTTGGCTTTTTTATTGTGCTAGATAAAGCACATAAAGAAGTCGTCTATTGTATTGGTTTTGTGAACCTATTCTATTGTAGAAAAGTCTTATTACATCATTTTCGAACACCATTACATTGATTTCGATCACCTTTTTTATGCTTTTTACCCCTTTCTCATCATGCCTTGTGTGCTTTTTTGATGTCTTTTTTCATGCCTTTTGAATTAATTGTTATGAAGAAATCAAAAAATTAAATACAAAAAATATGTTTACAAGTAATTTACTAAGGTTTGCAAACACTTGATTAGTATGATAGGAAAAGAAAAACAGAACTAGAATTAGCTATTTAATGATTGGAAAAAAATTCTTATCTTTTTCATTAACTTAACATTGAATATTTGCTAAAAATACAAGGACTCCTTTCAAATCTTGTAAATCCATAAATCTTATAAATTATAATGATATTAAAACATTAAAATTCTAACTAAAAAACCTTGATTATAAAAGTCCTCCAAAAAAAATCTTATGTCATAGAGCTTTAAAATTTACAAGATTTTTATATGCTAATTAGTATTTTAAAACTATAATCCAATAATACATGTTGTCAAACTAGGTTTTGAGTAGTGAATTTAAAGACCTATTTCCTAAATTGTTCCCAAATCACGAATAACTGTAAGAGTCACTAACAATAATGAAAATACCGTACAAAAGTATTTTAGCATAAAAAGAATCAGAAAATGTAGGTTTTGACATTTTAAGTCAAGTAGATCATTCTGCTTGTGCAATTCACTTAGTTAAACTACATACTTCAAATGTAAATGCATAGGTTTAATTCCTCGCCATGTGCTCCAACCCTTTCCATTACTTTATCCTTTCTCTACCTTCCCCCATTTTAGCGTACCATTGACCTAAAAGAAAGTGAATTAGCTTTACAGTCAATGGAGTGAAACATAAACGTTAATAGAGACCAGTATTCATTACCAAAAAAACATATAGACCATGATTTAAGTTATAACAGTATAGTGTCAAGAATAAAATATGGATGCACAAGCCATTTGTATAACCCAAGGTTTAAATGAAGCACTATAGCGATGCACAGAGGCCCTTGCCCACACTATAAGGGACTCTTTTAGTGGAGCGGTTTAGTGTAATGGCTGTAGCAGACCAAATAACGGGCTAAATGGCAGGTGCTATAGTGGTGTTATGTGTTGATTCCAAAACAAAATCCCTCTGAGCATAGACATTAGTGCTTTTTTGAAGGGCTATTTTTGTGGTTTAAATGAAAAAGAGGACTTGGATTTAGGAGATGATGATAATTTCTATCAAGGAAACTTTTGTTTGACTGGTATTTACTTGTATGTTTTGTTTAAGACTGTGACTTTTATTGTTAAATATGAATGTTATTGATTTTGAGTAAATTTTAGGATTGTCAAAATGGGTGGTCTCATTTTGCTTGCCCGGTTCATACTATCATAAAATTCGATAGGTTATCCTGATTTATATTTTTAAATAGACTATAGTTTTTGGCCTAATCTAACATTATCTTTGGCCAATGAGTCAATTTTGGTCTAATTGAAATTTTTTTAAAAATTATAACATGTGTATATAAAAATGATTTATCCAAAAAATTAATTAAAAAATAATTTTAATAAAAAGATATGAAATAAAATTTTATTTTAGATAAATGATTCAATATTTAAATTATAAGAGGAAAGATCTATTTACTCTATGAGTAAGAGTTAAAGGCTTATTCTTCATCCTCACCACTTTTTTAGTAATCTTAAAGTAGTATATCATTTTAACTCTTATTCTTAAAGTAAATGGATCTCTTCTCAAATTAATTTATAATATATATATATATATATATAAAATAATATTATTTTTATTTAAAAAATAATTATTATTTTATAAAGCAAAATGATCTATATGTTAAACTATAGAAAATGTGTGGGTAAAACTGTGTATTTGGCATAGGCATCCTTCTCGGTTTCTTTGTTAGGAACCAACGTGCTCCTATCGACATGATCTCAAAGATTTTTTCTTTTGATGAAGATCTCGAATTGAAATGCCCAAGCGGAGTAGTTCTTGCGATTAAGACGAATGAACAAAACTTCATATTTCTCAAAAGACATGATACCAATTGGAATCGGAACAAGAAACAAAAGCTAGGGTTCGCGAAACGAAGACGGGATTAGACGAGGATCGTAATCCAGTCTGATACCATGTTAAACTATAGAAAATGTGTGGGTAAAATTGTGTGATCCCCTCTTGGAGAATTCTCTCATATATATATATATTTAATACAAACTAATATTCTGCCCATTTCCCTTTAAATTAGCTAACAACCATATATACAATTAATACAATTACTCTACTTTAATATATCCTAATAAAAGAGAATTACTTTACTGCAATATATCTTAATAAAAGAGAATAATAGTTACAATTGGTTTTGATGACTAAATAATTTGGCAATCAAACCTGGCAGATTACGTAATTAACTCCGTTGACACTATAAGCGTATGGGTTGGTACCTCAGCAAATTCAAATCATGTGCTAAATGGGTCGGGTCAGAATTAGGTTAATTCAATTTAGACTACAATTTATTTAGTCTTATAACCTCTTTTTTAAGCTTTTGGGGTCGGTCCATTGAGTCAGACCTATTTGAACACCCATAATAATTTTTATCATTTTTTAGAATTTAGAGCTGTACACTATATTTGTATAGCAATTTTAGAGCTGGTCACTACACTTTACCGTAGGCCCTAAAAATGAAAGTCACTAGATGATCGAATATGGATGCTTTTGAAGTGCAACTTTTGTGATTCAGGCAATTCAATGTGTGTTTGAGCTCCAAAAACTATTGTGGATGTGATCTGAATTTCTCTATCTCAAAATTGACTTGCAAGAATCGTATCACAACTCATACAATTCTGATACGATTGAACTCTTAAAGAATGACTTTTCTTTGCACATGCTATTATGAAAGCAGGAAAAAATGGAAATAGGATAAAAATTAATCTTTTTCCCTTTTTTCTGGGTTAGACATATAGAAGCATGAACACGAGCCTAACTGATGATAGTAATAGGTGGTTTCCAAAAGGATATATTGATTTAAACCCCATTGGCCAATCTCATTGGACATGTTCAATGCAAACTACTCATTTCCTTGCCACCGGTCCACTCAACTACTTGAAAGAGTTTCAAGATGATGAATCATCACTGTATCTCAACAGAAAAGAGAAGAAAGAAGGGTGCAATTCTTGCTGGAATTGTTGCCAAAAGCACTGTAAAAAATGTAGCCAGAGCTCCTGTAAATGTCTCTTGAAGATGAGAGGCTTAACACGGGAGGGAGTGGCTTGGGAAAGCGGGAGAGTGGAAAATTGGTCCAAAATCTTGGGTTTTAGGTTAAAAGATAAACCTACCCTTTTACCCTTAATGAAAATGGGGAATAACAACATTTCTGTTATTTGGATATAATTGTGTCCCTTAGGTTAAACACTAGCCATGTCACAAAACATTGCATGACAGCAGTATCTCACGGTTTTGGATGTGAAACTGGCACAACAGTATCAACACCAAGATGCAATGTGACCTTTTGCCATGGGGTGCTGCTGCTCTGCTCTGCACTGGTGTAATAGTGACACTTATTCATGCTATTAACTACTATGGTTTCAAAATATTAAATTAAATTCTATCCATAATGTTTGAAAATGGAATACATTGGCCTTTTTCAATCAATTGAAAAATAACCAGTGTCTTTGTTAAGCTTTTAAGAGTATTGAACTTAAATATCAAATATGAAATGGGTTGGTGAAGTTCCTTATTGTATATAAAAAGGAAGGAGAGATTAATGATATGGTGAGTTTGATTGAGTTATTAATTTTAGGTTTAACGATTGTTGAGATTTGTTGAACAGGATCTGAATCCAAATAAATCCACAGGCTTAGTTTCTAGGGGTTTGGAAGGGGTGGCTAGTTCTTTTAAATGTGTTCCAGGATCAAGACATATCTGTGTATCAGTGTATTTGTTTTTTTTTTTTTGTCTCTGTTAATATTTGGCCTTTTTTGGAGGTTTGTTTTGTCTTCAGTATCTGTATAATGTATTTGAGGCAATATTATTTTGTCTTCTATTGAGAAAGAAGAATTGAAGATATTCCTTGTTTGCTGAAAAATATTGTTGTTGATTTGGGCACATCCTAATAATTCCTTTTTTTTTATGGTTTATTTGTTGGTGTTTTCCATCATTTTAAGATCAATTGAATAATAATAAAAATTGGAAAATATTTAAAATAGGAGACAGATATTTAAATCTAATGGTTTCTAATTTCTTTGCAATTTATATTCTTAATTATTATTTTTTTGAAAGCGAATGTTATAGCACTAATAGTAGTAAAATATAGATTGTAGAGGGTATGGACAAAATTTGTGTTTGCTATATATCTTTGGGTGAGGACAGATAGGTGGGTTCAATTTTTTGAAAAAGAATCTGTCTTCGGACATCCTACGGAGATTTGCCTGTGACCTTTGTGTGGCTTTGTACTTTCATGTTTTATGTAATAAAAAATATTTATAGCCATTTTAGACTTCATTGGTTTTTATTTTAGCATCCATTATTGTTTCAAAATACCTTTTTAAATCAACCATAGTTAATATGAAGATTGTATGTGTATTGACTTTTGCACTATTCAACATCATATTAATGGATTATAAAATCTTTCGTACTTATTTTGATTTTCACTCTATTCAAGTTATGATGTGGATATTTTCTACTTTTGGATCTCAGCCTTTTGATATCTGAATTATATGGACTGCAGTGCTGTTGCATTTCAGCTTTTTATTCCTGCAGATATTGCAAATTCTCTTAAACTACTTGTTTTCTCCTAATTTCTTAGTAATATTTAGAATAATATATATTTTTTGGTTTCTAACCCACATCCTTTATTAATTTTGCCCCTTGGGAGTTGATTTTATTTAAAAAGTTATAATGAAATGGATGGAGAGATGAAACATTTGGGGTTTTTTTGAAGTTTGAGTTTAAAATGATAAAATTAATCCTCAAGGAAGATGTTGCTTTAAGTATTTACTCTTTACCTATGACTTGTTAAGGATGAGGATATTTACTTTGTAGCAGCTGTAAGCTAATATTCTATTGGTTCAAATTTATACATATATTGAATTGTTCCTTTCTTGTAGCCATTATTGTTATTTACGGTGGATTCTTATGTTTCTTAATTTGATTTCATTCAGTCCTAGTGGACACCAGTTTGAGTCTTGCAAAGAAGCTTCTGCATACTTGCTTTCTGTTTCTGGTGTTCAAGATAAGGGCCATTTAAAATTTAGTTATACTGATGATGGTGCTCTGCAATTGTCCAGTAGTATGAACATGGCATCTGAAAGTGTAAGCTAATATTGTACCGAGTCATTTATTTATTTATTTGATTCAAATAACAAAAAAAACTGTTTAATTTTTTTTAACATGCGCAGAGTGTTGGCCATGTCCCTACTTCTGACACGAAGACTGATGCCAATACAAGTTATTTGTCTTTAGCCGGTGCATCTATTCACTCTTCTCACGAGAAACAGCCCCCAATATCATCATCAATTGGGAGCGAAAATTTCAATGGTGATCTGGCTTTGGGTTGTAAATTAGGAGATGGTACTAGTGGAGACTTTAGAGGCCCTGACCATCTAACTGAAGATAAACAACTGTTGGAGGCTAATAAGAATGATGGAAATTCAGTTCAGAGATGTTCTCACATGGAGGATAGAGTTTGTAATTTATGCAGTGAGAAGTTGGTTGGTGCTATTGAGTCTACTGATGCTGCATGCAATCTTTATATTCCTTTAGTTTTCTCAACTCCTTTCTCCAATAATAGTATTGACAATGGTCAGATTTCAGAGGATATAAATGCTGCCACATGCATAAAAGGGGGCATTAATAATTTTTCTATTGAGGATAGAAATACTGGATTTGTTCAAACTTTTCACAATGAAAATGAGCAAGCACATGTTGACAGCAGTGGGCTTGGGCTTTCTATGAAATTAGAAGAGAACACTCAGAAAGTAAGTTTTCAAAGCAGCATTCTGGCTCCTAACTCTGAGGGGGAAATATTTGCTGGTAAAAATTTAGAGGATAGATATCCTATCAGTTCACAGGTTAATATGGATATTAGAGATGGAGAAGCCATTAATAGTGACCAACAACCAAGTATATGTAGCACAGATCAGGCTGAAATTAAAGATGTTTCTACTGATGTTAAACTGCAGAGTAGATATGAGGGTTGTTCCCTTGTCTCATCTCATAGTGAACTTAAACATACATCTATAAGTAATATGGACAGGACACAGACTTCTGAGTTGAAGGACTCTGCTGAGGAAAATATTTTTGACAGTGATTTATTTAGCTCATCTATTGATGAAAGAGCATGTGTTCACAGTGGTTACATTAGTAATGTTTCTTTTAGCTCTTGCACACAGGATGCATCTGAGTATGGTGGTTTTGATTTTGCTTCTGATCTTAAATTAACTAAGGATGTTAGTGATAATCATATTTTTTCTAATGAGGAAGCTGTGACTAGATGTTTACAGGAGAGGAGTTCCTTGAATGACCAAAATAGCATGATGGACAATCTGTTGCATAGAAGTTCTCAGAGTAACCTATTTGCTCTAACTGCTAATCAGCACGCTTCTGCTTTTCATGATAATGTGAATAATATCTGTGATGGAACTTTTGATGCACTCAAAGCTGTTGATGCTGGATACATGGAGCCTCAGTTGGGCATTGTTTCTTGCAGCAATATTACTCTAGATGCATATACTACTGCAAGTATCATGCGGAGGAACTCACAAGAATGTGTATCTGTTCCTCATGGTGGAAGTATATTAAACTTTGAGAAGAAAAGTGATGATGGTGTTAATAAAGCAAATAAGTCTTGCTTACCAGAAAAGGCTCAGAATGAAGTTGAAATATTCCAAACTGACTCCATGGGTCTACCCAAATTTCTGTAGCAGTTAGATAGATTCAGATGTAGATGTGGTGACACATGCATGCATTGCAGGAAACATTTTCTTTAATAAAACTTGTATGATAGTTCTGCAGAGTGTGCTGGTAACCACAAGGCTCTGCTAGTGTATATATTCTCAATTTCCTATCCAAGATGATAAGCTAGAAAAGGTAATGATTATATTTACAGTATAATTAATTATTTTCTGCTTAAGTTATTTCTAGGGATCAATTTATGCTTCTCTAGTCAAAGTGATTTTGAAATTCATGATGAAAATAAACTGTGGAAGTTATTTTATTTTAATCTAAATACATGAAATAATAGGAATGATAGATTTTGTATATTTAAGAAGACACGATTGAATAAGTTTGTTTCCTGAGTTAATACCCTCGTGCTTATGAGTGTTATTTACCTAAACATCTTTTGTATTATGTCACCCGATGATGCCATTGGGTATATAGAGAAAGTCGGTAATCTTAAAGCAGACTTAACAGCTAGTCAATGGTTTTTTGTGGTTGAAGGGCCGCTGCATTAGCCAATTGAAAGAATGAATATCAATCATATATAACTATAATTACACCTGTATTAATTCTGGTACCTTTTGTTGCTTTTAGGTTTACGTGTAATTTTAACTTTGATAACTTTTGCATGTTTTTTATTGTGAGAATAGCATAGTGAAAAAAAAGTTAAGCCAAAGACTGGATTTTACTATCAGCTGTTTCAATGTCAATTGGAATAACATGCTAAATGTTCTTAGTGTTGACAATGGCTGTGCAAAATTCGTAATTTATTTTGGTATATATTAGCTTAGTTTGAAGAGATTTGTTTAAGAAACGAAAAGTGAATTGTGTCTTATCATTACTGTAGGTTTTTTGTTGTTCTCTGGTTGCATGCTTTACCTCTGCAGCTGATGACCTTCTACGGTTTCTGATTTTGCTTTTATTTTGGGACAAAACAGATAATTGCTTGGAGGCAGCGTTATTTTGTTGATAGATTCAGCTGGTCATGCGGGTGGCTTCTCTGTTCCAGAGGTTATTTTGCAGCTCTGGTCTTATGCTTTGCTTACTTCTTGCCGGAGCCCAGAAACCATTTTTATTTTGCAAGGAACAAATTTACTTTAGGTCCATTTTAAGCTCAACATTTTTTTAGCATATGGTAGACTGGTATACTGAACTCGAATTTAGGTAGGTCCTTCAAATGAAGGAACTAATTTTCCCCTTAATTTTTTGAAAGTGAAATACCAAAATCATCTGGTGATATTCGTCTTTCATACGGGGTGGCTCTTTGCATAACCATTATTGCTCCTGTCATGGGCTCCCTATCCAATAGATACTTCCTAGTTTATTTTTCTTTCTCATCCTGTCTCGTATGAGGACTTTTTTTTTTTCTTAGATCTTTAACATGATTGATGGGCAGGGAGTTCTTGTACTCTAGCTTCAGTTATAAAATGAGGCTTGCTAAACTATTGTATGGTTGCATGGTCCATGATGGGCAGGTGAGCTTATATCCGATAGATATACAGAAAAAACATTGATGGGTGCTTAATAATCTCACTGACTAATTGGTAGCATTAGTAATTATTACTAATTGTAAACGAAATCCCCTAAAATTTGGGAAATTTGGATGAGTTGGCTAGCATAATCGTAATTTATAGACTTTGAGAAACCCTAACATAGCCATTAGGGACAATCTTCTCATCCAACATCAAGTAAACTCTTTCAACGTAGTGAATGTTCCATTAGAGACGTTTCTCATTCAATGGAGAGATCTGTTCAGTTTTGTAATATGGTGCTTTTGAAATACATATGTTACGACTTGATGAGAGGGTGAGACCAATTTGTTCACTTCAAGATTTCAATGTATTGGCACGGAACTGTGGTTCACAAAGTATATGACGCATTCGTTAGCATCTCTGTTATCCTGTGAAATACCTTATCCATATGTTTGATTGAATAGAGAGAAAGAGAATCCAAAAAGGAAGAAAATAAAAAAGTAAAGATTATAGATAATAGATTATTTGAATTTGAATTATTAAAAAATAATAAAATAAATGTATTAATAATTAAAATATTTTTAATATAAATTTAATAAAAAAATAAAAGTAAAATTTATATTATTTAATATAAATGAATTATTTAATAAATGGATAAAAAGTAAATAAAAATAAAAATTAATGTACATATAAATTGAAAATAAATTTGTAATAGACATTTATACTTTATAATTTATTTTTATAATAATGTATATATAATAAGGTGTCATTTTTTATACTTTATAATTCATTTTTTATGTTTTATATAGGAAATTAAAAACATATTTTAACTCAAAAAATGTGTTTAACACATTATGATAAAATATAAAATAAAAATTATTATAATATTTATTTTTCTCAATTTAATATTTTTTATTAATTCATAAATTATCAATATATTTTTTATTATAATTTAATAAAAATAATATGAATTAAATTAAAATATAGTTAAACATGAAATATTTTTTTATAAAATTACAAATAGAATTACAAATTTATTTAAAAATAATTTTAGAAATGTTAAATAATTAATTAAGACTATGTACATTTTCTTGTTTACATAACTCAAAATCATGTTTAAATTTAATAACTTTTTAAAAATTAATTATTAGTAAAATTGATAAAAAATTATACTAATAATATAATTTTAAGAAAATAGTGATATTTGTTGGATTTTACCCTTATAAAAATGAATTTTTGTTCATTTTGGTATTTATTTATTTTCACTTTGTATTTGTGAATATTTAATAAATAATTAATCATGACTTAAAAAAATATTGATATAAATTAATATTTTTTAAATGATCATTTTTAATATATATATATATATATATATATATATATATATATATATATATATATATATATATATATTTAATTGATCTAAACATAAAAGAAGAAAAAAGTTGAATTATGAAAGAATAAATTCTTGAAATGAATTATATATAATATGTATATAAACATAACTAGTTATGTGTAATTATGCTCAACACAGAATAAATTATATGTAAACCCATAATTGATTATATTTTTTTCATAAGTAATTATATATATATATATATATATATATATATATATATATATATATATATATATATATATATATATATATATATATGTAATATAAAAGTAACATAAGGTTAATTAAAAAAAATAGATCTCAATTATTTTTTTCAACTAATTGGTCTCATATTAGGAAGTTTCTGAGATGCAAGAAAGTCACTACTCAATCTCTTGGAACATTTTCAGATTTCTTCTGATCCTCTTGGAACAACTCTAAGTGGGATAATAATCTCTTACTACTTCAGCTTAAATCTAAATAAAGAGGCTAAAGGAATACATTCCAGAGGTAGGCTCAAGGGGATGGATATCTAGAAAGCTTGCAGATGGTCCTACCATATTACTTCCTTCCAGTAATCCTGATTTGTGTGAGAAGAATATAAGAAGATCCTCTGCGGAGGTATCATGGTTTCAAAAGTTAAAGGTGCAATTAGCTTAACCAAGGAGCACCAATACAAAGTCAGAAGGCAACCAAATACTAAACATGCTCTCCAAAATGGCTTCAGGCTACTTACCTGTCAATCCATGTTGCTTCTTTCCCTCCCGCAATAACAATAATTGAATACAATTTCTTTTCCATTTATACATTATGATTTATGGGAATGAAATCTTCTTTTTATAATAGCTTTTCTTGTCATTGTTTATAAATATATTACTGATAAAGAGGAGAAAAATAATAGATTTTAAGCATTGTAGAGTAGTGTAACTTATAGTTTTCCATTTAGAATCCTTTTAGTTGTTGCATAGAGGTTAATAGATAGCATATGTATAGTCCCATAATTCACTCACTTTATGAAGAGAAATAGATGAGGCTGATTTCTACCTTATTATATTAAGAGGTTCAAGGATATGGTTGCTTAAAATCCACCTTCTCATAATATTCTATGATTTCTATATTTTTATCCCAGACATGGAAATAGAAGAGAACATTGTACAAAACTCTCCCCTATCTATTTCAATCCTATGTAAACATTTGACATTTTATTTGTACGTATGAAAAGGATTCCTCTGTTTATAACGACCTTTTTATCATTACAGAAAGAAAAATAAACACAACATATATAGATTATAATGTAATAAAAAACAATAGTAAAAAAATTTACCCTTATAAACTAAAAATAATTTTTTTCAATTTACTGTCAGTAACAAAAAATATCAACACTATGTTTTTGTTAATTTTAGACAAAAACTTTACATAAAAGTTATTTTTTTATGCAATTCAATATATATATATATATATATATATATATATATATATTTTGTTTACTTTAGATACAAATTTTGTATAAAGAAAATATTTTTATGTAATTAAATATAAATTAAAAGAAACCTAAATTTTTTTAGAAGACAATTTTATGCAGAAAAACTCATTCCCGTAAAATATGAATAGCCTACCATAATTAGTTTTATAAATAAATCTTCATATATATAATTTTAAAACATTCATTTTATGTGAAAAATATTCAATTTTTTTGTTATGTATTTAAATATATTAAAAGAAACTTAAAATTTTATCAGACAATAGAAAAAAAAATTCATCCCGTTAGAAAAAAATATAAATTATCGTCCTAATAAATTATTTTTAATAAAAAAGTTCATTTTCGTAAAGTAAAATAAAATTTTCTGTTTTTCTATACGTTATATTTTATTTATTTTATATATTTTTTTATATAAGTTGAGTATATTTTTTATACTTAAAAAATTATTATATGTTATATATTACAGAAAATATTATTTAATTAATTAGTTAATTTAAAAGGATAATTTTATAATAATATAAAGTAATTAGATAAAAAGTTAAATTTCTATTAGAATTATTTTGCAAAAAAAAATGTAATGAATTAAATATTTTACTGAATTTTTTTATTAACCTCTATTTACTATATTTTATGTATTGTATCTTATAAAGTTAAAAAATATTATATTTTTATATATTTTATATTAGATAAAATTAAATTTTCAATCAATTATTGAAGTCAATAAAAATAAATTTGTTGAAAGCATATTTAAATAAAATTTATTATAAACATACATATAATTTTTTAATAATATTTAAAATACTAACATAATTTTAAATAAATGATTTAATTCATATATTTTGATTTATAAGTTTTTGGAAGATGAAATCATGAGGGCGGAGATAATTAGGACACAAATATGATTATTAGTGCTGATGTTATTTCACAATGTTTTATAATTCATATATGTATTTATATTATTATTTCACTTTTCCCCTTTTGTTTAGGTTCTTTATATTTTTATATAATAATATAGTAAAATCATTATTATTATTCCTGTATTTATATTATATATTTTTTGTAGTGTAAAAAAGTTTTTTTTAAAATAAAAAATAAGAGAACAAGTAATTGATGTTGCTTTAAGATAAATGAGAAAAATGAGAGTTTTCTATTATAAATATTTATTAATTTTTTTATTAAAGAGAAAAAAATTGAAAGATATTTGCTCTTAAAATTAAGTATTTTTAGATATAAATAAATATAGGTGGAAGTTGTTAAAAGAGATTAATGATGTTTGAAAAAGAGATAGACAAACCATAATTTGTTATGATTTTTATTTCAGAGAAAAAAATTGAATAAACATAAGAAAAAAAATAAAATAAAAATAAATAATATATTAAAACTCTATTCATTACAAGTAAAAAAAAAGTGTGCTGAAAAAGAAAAGTTAAGAAAGAGAAGGGAAAGTAAAAAATATTTTAATCATTTAAAAGTAAAGTTGTATGAAAAGGAAAAAAATATTAATTTTAAAATATAATAATAATTAGATTAAAATTAAATATTTATTTAATTATAAACTTATTTATTGTTAAATATTTTTATTAATAAATAGTTTTTTAAGTAATATTTTTAATTTTATATATTATTTTTTTAAATAATATATACTTTAATATATAATTATAAAATATTTTTATTATAGTTTTTTTTCTAAAATTATTTAAAATTAAATTAATAAAATAATATCATATTATAAATAAAAGAATATATTAAAGTACTTATTTAATTTTTATGATAATTTTAATTTATGATATTTTATTAAAATAATATATATATATTAGAATTATAAATATAAAAATAAACAATTATTTATTTAAGTGAAGATGATCTTATAAATAATAGTTTTCTTATATTTTTACAAAATAAAAGATATATATATATTTATAATATAAAATAATATTTTTTTTAGTTTATAATCAGCTTATTTTTTATATCAATAATTATTTTTATTATATATTTTATTGAGTGTAAATGAAAAAAAATCTATTTATATATTATAATAAAGTAGATTGGATGATATATTTTAAATGATGTTATTAGATAAAATGTTTATATTTTCAACCCAATCTAATCATATCTTTTCATAACTAAACCATTCTTATTGCATTGAATAAATAGACACGTTAAAATTTTAATAACAAAATATATATTTAAAAATTTATATATATTTCTTATAAATATTAGAATAGAAATTATACGAACGAGTAGTTTCTTGAAATGATACATATTTAATATCAAGTAAAATTATATATTTATAATATATATATATATATATATATATATATATATATATTTCTTTTGTATATATATTTTAACAAAAGCCTCAACCATCATGTGGTAGATATTCTTCTGTCTGGAAAAGTTTGTTTAACAAACCACTTATTTCTAAACATTTATTAAACAACTAAATATTTAACATAATAACAATAATATTTAATATAATGTTAATAATATCTGTAGTTGTAATTATAGTTAAATGATCTAAGATTTCAATATATCATCTTTCAAAATTTAAGAAGAAAATAAACAAAACTAAAATTTAATCAGTATTTTTTAATGAATAAAATGAAATAATAACAGTTAATAATAAAACTAAAATTATGATTAATATTAATTTTTGTTAAATATACAATAGATTTTATTATAATTTTTAATTTTGGATCTATAACATGTATACTGTACTTACACTCTTCTTAATGTTCATTTCATAAGTAGATAAACATTAAAATTAAATACTTATCAAGAAAAAAAAATCATATTATATACATATTGTATAATTGTTGAAATGAATTTTCAGAATATATAGTTCTGGATATAAAGATGTACTCTGACTTAGAAGTAGAAATATAAACAAAAAAATTGAGCAAATAAAAAAAAAAAACGTGAAAGAGTGCAAAGGAACCAAAGTGGTGGTTAGCAGTGTGGAACACAAAGGCGATGAAGGAAGCAAGAAGAGGTAAGGATGTGTCATGTTCATTCATTTCTGTGTGTGCGAAAAGGTAAATTGCTAATGCCATTCCCACCACCGCCACCACCATCACCACCATCACCGGTCACACTTGAAACCATCAACTCATGCCCATAACCTAATCCTCACTCTCCACTTCCTAATTAAAACTGAATAAGAAAATAAAAATAAGGAAAAAATGGTCCACTAAGGATGAGGCACGTCACCCATCTCTCCCCTCCCCTCGCTCTTCTCAAATCTATGCTTTGGAATTAGGGTTTCCATTTGGATTTGGTTCTTCTGCTCTGCTCTGCTCTGCTCACTCCCTGCCAGGGAAACGGGGTAAGGGAAAGGGATAAGGATGAGGGTTTGGGGATCGGAGATCGTCTTCGCCATGTTGCTCTGTGGGACCCTCTCTTCCACAGCTCAACCGCATCATCATCAACATAGGGTTTCTCTCTCCACTACCACCAACGTCGCCGTCTGTCCCGTTTACTCCCTTCTCGATTTCATCTTAGGGTTTCCAGATTCCACCTGCCCCCTTCCCGATTCTCTTGGATCCATTGCTGTCACCGAGGTAACTCTTCCTCTATCCCTTTCTTTCTCTCTCTAATATATTATTAGAATTTTGGGATTACAATTTTTCTCCCTAATTATTGAACATTGGTGATGTGCAGGGAGATGAGGTTTCTTTGCAGAAGGCGCTGAATATGGTTCATAAGAATAATCACGAGTATGTGGCTGTCCTCTTCTATGCGTCGTGGTGCCCTTTCTCGCGGGTGTTTAGACCGGTTTTCTCCGTCCTCTCTGCACTGCACCCTTCCATTCCTCATTTTGCTATTGAAGAATCCTCTGTTAGGCCAAGGTTTGTGTAATGCGTTTTCGGTTTCAATTATTTATTTTTCTTTTGTTTATGGCTTATTTGAATTGAGTGCCAATGCGATTCTTGCAGCATACTGTCCAAATATGGTGTCCATGGTTTCCCTACACTGTTCATTTTGAATTCAACCATGCGGGTTCGGTATCATGGGTCTCGGACGCTTGCCTCGCTCATTGGTTTCTACAATGATGTTACTGGTGAGGCACACTGTTCTTTTACCACTCCTTATCTTTGCCTTGAGATTAGTGTGTTGTTTTCTGATATACATGCAACTTTTAATTGAGATTCGAACATTTTAACTTATTCAATTTACAATGGAGTTTTAATTAGATTTGATCATATCGATTAATCCGTATATGAAACTTCCAAAACATACACATAAGCACAAACATGATTACAATGAAATCTGGTTTCCGAACATGATCCCATGGAAAAATGTCAGGTTTATCTGACACTAATGAAGATAGGTTGTATTCAATTAGTTGGATCATCTAATAGATTGGTGTTGGTTTTAAGATTAAATTTTAATATTTGATCATTGGCATACTTTGGCTGTGCTTTATTTGTTTTGTACTGCATTAAGTCTACCGTGTCTTTCACATAAAAATGGCTTTTGTAGCTTGAGTGTGGGGAGCATAAAAAGTCAACGAGCTACAAAAGAATCTGTGAACATGTTTAAATACAAGGGAATTTTAAATCCTATGAGACTAGGCCCATGAGCCACAGTAAAATTTGATTGTTGGCAGACTTTGACCATGCCTTATTTATTCCTTTACTATGAGGAAGTGATTACCTTCAAGGGAAACCGGTGCATTGCACCTTGGGATTGTAGGGGCATAAAAGCTCACTTGCTTAGATACTGAATGGAGTACACCAAAATCAAGAGTTTTAAATTGCAAGGGATGTGGTCAACCCCATAGGCCATGGTGTACCTTTATTCATCTTTCAAATTGTGAAACCCTAAAAAATTGTAATTTTTGCACCAATAAAATTAGCTTGAGATGCCACCATCCTACAACCTTTCCACATGCTAAAACTTGGATTTTCTTGCTCAAAGACGAATAAGATAGAAGATCAATACCAAAACAAAACAGCATGATGCTGCTTTCAAGCATGGTGATTCTGAAAATGAACCAACCCAAGAAGCCATGGATATGGTGGTTGTGGAGCTAGAGTTTGGATTTGGTATTACATGCATTTAGCAAAGATGGTATTTTTTGTGACAATGTGAAGAAAATGTATCACTGAGTTTTAATGTCCCAGTTGGGGTGGTTGCAAGTTTTTCGTTTTTAAATGAAATGTTTGAAACAAAATGCATATGGCAAAAATGGATCTGGAATATTTTTTAATTCAATTCTGAAGCACTTTTACATTCATTTACAAAATTAAAAAAGAAAAAGTTTTGTTATTAGTTTTTGATAAACATACTGTTTCTATTCTTTGGTATGACCCTTCCCATTATCGTCACCTCCACGACCGAGCCACCACCTCCACCACCAGCCTTACCATTATTGTCATGGTTAGGACACTACTACTATACCATCACCACCACATTTATTGACACTACTACTAACACCTTCGTAGTTATGAGCACTATCACCAAAATAACTTTAAACTAAAAATTAGAAAATAGAAAACTGATTTTTGAACTAAAAACCATTCTAAACTGAAAACTATTTTTTAAAAACTAAAGACTGATTGTAGTTTTTAAATGTTTTGAAACTTACAACTAAAGACCATCCATAACGTGACCCAAGAGAGGATTGTAGAGATGGTTGATTTTAAAACCTTGCTACGGGAAGGAAATTCAGATTTTTTAATTTTTAGTTAAAAAACCCAGCGAAAACTCCTACCATCTTCAGAGTTCTTTTTTAATATCCAGGTGAAGCATTTGTTAGTAAATCATTTTAGTTGTCCCATAAATACATTATGCAGTAGCACATCTTGTTTTCCTTATTTTATTTTTGTTTTGCAGTTATCATTTTTTGTTTTCGTTATTTCTTGTATTTAGTTCGTTATTTGGCTGTCATTGTAGGGATTAGAATTGGATCAATTGATCAGCTATCACTTGAGAAAATTGGTCGATCTTCCACTGATAAAAGTCATGGTAAAACCGAGCCTGAAAGTTGTCCATTTTCATGGGCTAGATCTCCAGAAAATTTACTGCGGCAGGAAACTTATTTGGCTCTGGCCACTACATTTGTGGTTTTGAGATTACTATACTTGTTTTTTCCTACGCTGCTTATATGTATTCAATATGCTTGGAGAAGGGTCATCAATAATATTAGATTAGGGAGCTTGCTGGAGCATCCTTATATTTATTTGAAGCGGCTAATACAGTCATTTAACTGTTTGAAAGAGCCTTGCAAGAGAAGTAATCTGCAGGAAGGAGCAATGAATGCTAGAGCATGGGCATCCAAGTCCCTTGCCACCGTATCAATCGGAGAGGAAAGCAACAGCCGCGGGATGCACCAGTGAGTTGACTGTACTGAGCGGATTTCCATCTTGAAATATTGGAGATTTGAATATACCCTATGAAAGACTTGGCTGCAAGTTATGCCAGTACTTTTGTTTCAGGATCTTCTTCACACCCTTGGATCTTGTGCTTAGTGAGGTCAATTATGTTACTGAATGATGTAATCGACCCTTATATGTCCCATATGATCAAGAAATACTTCATTCAGCGTTCTAGAAGATTGAGACTTCAATTTGTATAGTTTAAACGTAGCAACTCGAGCTGAAATCTGCAATTCTTTGACTTGTAGGTTTTCTTGAAGATCAAATCTTTTGATCATAAGTTCATAAATTTATTTTTGTTGGGAATGAAATGATTGTAAATCCCGCATAGTACTTATTTTAATGCATTGTTGATGTACTCGGTGCGTGTTATTTGTAGTTCAAAAGTAATAAGTTGTGATAATCTGATTAAAATTTCTTACAGAAGTAATCTATATTCGAATCCTTTCCTTAGTGATCTTTATGAACAGCAAGCCGGTGCACTGAAATTGATTGAGATAGACAAGGAGGAATGCGTAAATTAATCCCATGTCTTGACTGCACACATTGCCTTTGCAATCGGATGAAATTAAACTAACCATGTATTGCATTTAGTGTCATCCTTTCTAGCCCGCAAGCAGAAAATGTACATGAAAGCTAAGTTTCCTGCAAATTTATATCTTTGTATGTTGATTGCTCACCATGTGGTAAAAAAGAGAATTCGTGATGACATAAAATTTTACCATTTTAATAAGTTTCATCAATTAGACTTTGCAAGAGTTTGTCATTCATTGGATATGTTGTCATACTTCCAATGCAAGGATTAATAACAGTCAGTTTTAAAAGCAACCGTCATATAATGCTGTATCTTCGGATTGGTTTAGCAATACCAATTATGGTTGCAAGTTGGTTTGCTTCAAAATATATTTTTTTAACATATCAGCCATACAACTTATTATTCGCTTAACTTTTAAGAAATTGTTATAAAATTAATAAATTTATTATATATGATAACTTTTTTCAATGCTAGGCAGGCAAAAACATCACCTTAAAGATTACAATTTCAACTATACATTGGAAAGAAAAAAGATAAATAAAAGTAAAGTGGGTGATTAAATCAAAGTTCACTTATATGACAAATTTATAGCAAGAAAAATCACATTTCTCTCTAATAATTGATTAAAAGTATAGTCAATAGATTATTAGTAGGTCGTAGTATATAAATGATAATGTAAATTAATTTTACATCATCAATGCATGCACTGTGTTTAAATTAAGTTGATAAATTTAATTTTGAATGGTTCAATGATTAGAATGTGCCTTAATATTGATCTGTCTAAAATTTTAGTTGAAAGGTGCGCTGATGAGAAATTAGATTTTAGATAATTGCCTAAATAAACGTACTAAAACTATTACGAAAGTTTTCAAAACACCATTCGACATTCCAAATAAAACCATGAACAAAATATTTTCAGGTCTAATGATGTTTTCAAAGCCTCTAATATATTCAACTCTTATATTGTGAACTAAAGGGAGTGTTTGTCAGAGTCCTTTGTTTAGTAATACATATAAAAACTTTAAATTCAAGTGTTTGATTTGAATATTTTATAAAAATTCTTATGAATTATTTCAGGATTTAATTGGAATAATATGAAAGTTTCTTATATTTTCATTCAATTTCTGTAAGTTTAATAATTTTAAAATAATAATTAAAATATACAAGGAAAGTGATTTATAGTTAGTCGATAGTATAAAAACTTTAAACCATTTTTCTGTCACAGCATTTTCGCCCAAAAAAGGTGAGAATTCAATACTGGCACTTAAGGTACAGTTTTAGGCATACTAGTGAAACATTGTTCTAACATTTTCAAAGTTCTTTTAAGTAATCATACAATGCAGAAATCACGATTTAAAAAAATAAAATTAAAAAATGACACTTAGTAATATATCTCAGGAAGGATAAAATATTATGCGTAGCAAGGGGTCATGTTAAATAATCTGATTTTGGTGTTCATTATTTTTGTGACAATGGAATGTCCTCATATTTAGTCCTCAAACACAAACAAGAAATTGTGCCACATATTGTAGTTTTCATATGCACTAAGAATCAAATATGTTTTTGTTCATTGCATGAAATTGTGTCACTATGCTTATGGGGTACCAAAAGCGTGTCATTGGATCATGAAAATCTCTGAAAAGGCCAAGCTGGGAACCTCTCATTTGGAAAAGGGAACAAAAGAAAAAGGGTCCATGTCTATCAAAGAATGTGGAATACAACCATGAATAGGACCAATCATCCTAGCACTCACTATACCCCAATCGATATCTAGAAGCATATTCGTCTTTTACACAGCTGCTAGGTCTTTTATGAAGAATAAAAAGACAATATACAGCAGATTCTGAGTAGTCACACTTTTGCAGAAATAAATCAAACATTCTCAAACCACAAAATCTGATATAAAAAAGGTAATTTCAGAGCTTGGCAAACCCTTCCATTTTCTTTGGCAGATAACCTATTCAGAAAAGTTCAGTCAGAACTAACCCAAACAAGTATGTAATAAATGTTGTTTGGTCCAGACCATAAGTTGACATGCTTCATAGAGATGTACCTTTATTATTGTTATAAACTGCACCCCAATATGGCACGTGGGTTGAAAGATGCCATCATCTGAATTTAACCACAACACAGGATATATCATCTTTACTATCTCTTTTTAATGCTTCAGCCGTAAGTTGCTTAGCTGCTTTCTGTGGGTCTTTCGATCTTCTAGCAATATCCACTGCGTCTTGATTAGTCATTACCTAGTTTATCACATTCAAATGAATTCTTTTTTTCGATTTATTTGAACTTCTAAAAGCAAGAACCATGGAAACAACAATACACTATTATTTTACCTTCCAAAGTCCATCACTTGCAAGGATTAGAATCTCAGTATCAACATCTATGTCAGCATTCTGTACATCAGGGTCTGAGCGCAAATGTGACTTGAGACTCTTGTCTCCAAATGCACGAGAAACAGCAAGTTGTCCATTTACTCTAGGCACATCACCTTGCATTATCATCATCAAAATCATTAATTTTTCTGTGTTTATCTATGTTATGGTGACTTTGTGCAGTAACGAATGTAATCTGACTAACTAATACCAGAAGCATTCAAAAACCACTATTGTAGTGGTGATTTCACACTCGGGAAAAACAAGTCCATTGTTGCTGTTGCAGTTCTTTGATATTAGAGTAAAATGAAGAAAATGATGATTTCTAAGAAACCCTTTATGGACTGCTTACAAATTTGTAATAAACTACTTCTCTATTTGGATACTTCTGGAATTACATCTACAACCTCCCCACAGCCTCGTAGAAGTAAAAAGTAGATCACATAAATAGTACAAACTTTCATGTTCAAATCAGAAACTCATAACAAGCAAAATTATATTCCAAGAAAAACAGTCACGAAGTAGTATGCAATGTATAGAAGACCGTAAAAAAAAGTCTGCACTTGAATAGAAGAGTAATGAATTCATATACTTTCAAATTCATTCTATAGCAGATTAAATAACTAGAATTCAGAAAAAGCATCACAAATAAGGAGAATATTTGTTCTGCAAGGTTAATTAATCTAGTTGTATGGATGCATTACTAATTTGCTTTGTCTTATTTGACATCAAAAAACAAATTCAAGCCGCTTCTATTACAGGGAGAATACACTCTTTCTATACCAAGTGGGGACTTCACAAATTGAAATAGTGGAATGGAAGCTTTAATGTACCTGGCAAATTAGAGACAAAGCCACCTCTATTCTCAATACTACCTCTTTCCATGTTTGGCTCGTGGTCTGTAGTCATTTGTAAAGCGTGACCTTTTCTTGAAAGAACAGCTCGTGAGTCTCCAACATTAGCTATCCATAATCTTCGCCCATTGATCAATATAGCAGTTACGGCTGTTGATCCACCACGCCCAAGATCAGAACTGTGTGATAGAATTTCCTGATCTGTGCTCTCGTATGCTTTTGAGATAGAAAGAGTGGGGTCTTCCCAAAATTCCTCCTGAGATTTTAATTGAATTAGAAGAATGTAACAATTCCAATCTAAAGCATAAATATATATTGATTATTTTTCACAACACTCAAGAGTTTCAACCAACCTCCCGCAGAATGTTGGTAAACAAATGTTTCTGCAAGTAGGCCGGGACACGGTCACCCAAGTGGCCATCATAGATAGCAAATAAACCCAATTCATTATCTTTTATCTGTGCAAACTTGGCAACATGATAATCCTCCATTGGGTGATTAGCTTTCCCTTTTACTAGGCTGAAACCATACTTTATTGAGCCTTCATGATTTTTCCCCTTACCAGTGCTGGATGAAGAACGTGCTGCTACAAGCTGTAAAGCAACCAACACAGAGAAATTGAATAGTCCTGCTAGTACAGGCGACATATGTAGAAGGGAGGATAAGTATTTGATTGCATAACAAAGGCACATTCATTACATCAATAAACCCCGATCAAACAACTAGAACCTCTCAGACTAGGAGCCATCTAATAGATGAAGAATGGCTAAAAACAAAAATGTTTTATTTGATGTATCTAAACCTAGAGTTAGGTTGCTAAATATAAACTTCTAGATTAGTTGCCTTCGACTATTAATAACTGAAACAGTTTATTCCCTGGTCATCCAAAAAGACAGATTTCTAATCCCAATAAAAACGAGGATGCAGACAAAACAAGCATTCTATGACAAATTAAAATTACCAACCAAGCAAATTTGATACACAAAAATTCAAGATTGAGTCAGGGTAGAGTGACAGGAAATAGTGAACCATGTTCCTTCCAAAGATAACAAAAACAGGATTCCGAGATAAGTATTATAAGGTAATAACGAAGAATTCGTAACACTGAAATTGTGTCAGATAATTTGAGTTTTCCCCTAAAGCCAGTGATCAACAAAAAGTGACAACATAGCCATATAATTTCCATCAAACTCAATAAGCAACATATAACGTTTCATGCATAAGCTCGAGACTACTAAGAGCACAAGTTACATTCTTACCTGAGAGTAGGAAGCCTTAAAACAGCACAACTTATCCATGAATGAAAAGAACAAAAAAAGTGAGCAGCTACTTCAACTAATTCTCAGCACAAACCACTTGGCAGACACCTTGAATTCAAACTTGGAACGAAACCCACTTCCCGGGTCCAGAATCACAACCTGTGTGATAAAAAAACCCAAAGACAATTCTCAAGAAACAGAATTTTGAAGAACAACCAAACACCCCAGAAAAGCCACTACACCAAGCAGTGACATAAGAAAAGGATAAAGTGAGCTAATAAGGAATCTATGCTCACCGGTGCAATCAAAATTGAGAAAGGATTGAACTTGTACTTGGACTCGGATAGTCCATGCTGTTCGTCTTGGTAGTCGGCAAAAGCTGAATTACAGAAGCGAGTGGGATGAATGAGAGAGGGAGAACATAAATAAAGCAAAGTGATAAATTTTGAAGGTTGTGTTGTGTGTGTGAGACAGAAAGGAATCGTAGGATGCTTATGTTTGTCTCTCTGTTATGATATTATTATGTAACCGTTTCGGGAACCTTAAGCTTCGCAAAGACACGGGAAAAAAATTATATTTCTCTGATGCCAAGGAAAAAGGGTTCCACAAACGCATACCAATGACTAATTTCCTGTTGACTTTTCTAGTTTTCCACTCTATTATAAAATAACCATCTTTATTTCTTTCTTTAATAAAGGTGGATGAGGAATTTATTTCCCTCCTCAGAAACCATAATTGTTGATTTAAAAATGAGTCAGATCCTAGAATTAATTTATATTATTATATTATTTTATAATCTTTACATATATTGATTTTATGAACATTAAAGTGGTTTCAAAAAAATGATCATTCAAGTGTGACTTCCGCGGTTTTACACATTGTGTGTGAATCTATCTCTCTATCGTGCTCGCGTTAAATACACTTTCGTGTCACACACAATCAGAATTATCATAATTATAAAAAATATTTATGATTTTTACAATAATTCAAATAAAATTTAAGTATTAACTTCCTTTTTATTTAAAGTTTGTATTGTATATAAATCTTGTATAATATATGCCAAGTATTTTCCACATTTTCCGTGTATATTTATAAATATCTGTTTCAAGTGTTTTGTTTTGTAATCAACATTGATTTTAATTTTTAAAACAAGGTCAATGGTCAATTTGTGGTTATTTAAGGAAACTTTTAATTTTTAGATATTATGATGATTCTTGAAAGTCATCAACTCTAAAAAATATTAAAATATGTTTATTTAGATATAAATCTATTTTTTAAAATTATATAATATAAATGAATTAAACTATTAACGAAGTATTCGAGTTTGACTTGCTAATTACTCATTTGTTAAGTAAAATAAACAAACTTAAAATTTATATATATATATATATATATATATATATATATATATATATATATATATATATATCTTTAACAGATAAAGTATTATAAATTGGATTTTTTTGAGATGTTAGCTATTTGTTTCAAAGTTTGAATTCTATTTGTTGAGATTGAGTTGTATTAGTGTAAAATACTAGTTTTTTTATACATATAAATACGTTATTTTTTTAGAAAAAAAATTATGCATATTTTTATCAGTAGGTTAATATTAATATGAATTTTAGATGTAATATTGATAAAGATGAACAAACAGTTTTTTTTTTTTAATTTTTATTCAAACATAAGCAATTAAGTTATAAATGAAGCAAACAAGTTATAAACCCAATATTTGAATTAAAGTCGAATGAATGAATGAATAAAGTTTAAATAATAATTTTAAAAAATGTTTTAACTTTTGATGACGTTATTAATATTTTTTTTATTCATTAAGAATTTGTTTGGTTTAAGGCGGGGAAAAGGAAAATGTGAAAAAATAAAATTTTATTATAAATTACATAATTGATTGATTATGTTGTCAATATTTTATTAATATTTATGTAGTTAAATAATTTTTTAACGTAGTCAATTATTTTACTAAAATTTTATTAATATTTATGTAACATAATATATTATATAAGATATAATTTTTTTTATCATAGATATAATAATTAATAATTATAAAATAATATTAAATAAAATTATTGATAAAAATGTATTTTAAATTTCACTCATTATCACTTTCTTTCATCTTATTTAAACATTTTTATTCTTTACTTATTCTTAATTTTTCTTTTTCTCACTTTTTATCATCTTATTCAACACAAAGCGGAAAAGTAAGTGAAATTATTAATCTTTTACATCTATAACTATTATAGATATTATACCAATCATACTTTTACTTTTTAACATTTCCTAATTTTTCTTTTTAAGTGATTTTTCCCATACTTAGCGGAGATATTCTTAAGATCTAGTTGGAATGAACGTTTACTAAAATTTTCAAATTTATTGTTTTTAATATACGTCAAATTTCAGCATAAGAGGAATTATTATTTTTAATAAAATTTGATATAATATTATTTATAATTGAGACTACATTTATGAATCTCTATCCCACCTAGAGTTGATTCCATTATATTAAGTTAAAAATAATATTTGATCTTGCGATTTGATAAATAGATCTCCCATATAACACGTGTTAATTAGGTTAATTGAAAGTCTTGGTAATTCTATTTTTTATTTTTTATTAAATACATAGAGTATATTTTTTATTTTTTCTAATATATGGTTAAGTATTTATTAGGAGAGTAGTATTAAGAAAAAATTCATAAATAAAACATCAAACCTATCGTATCATATATCTAAACCTAAAACTTAAAAAAATTAAGTTTATGTAACTCTTATTTATATATGATATTCAACTTTTTCTTATAAATTATATATATATATATATATATATATATATATATATATATATTGAAATATCAGTGTGAATAAAAATATTTATTAATTAAAAAGTTTAATTTTATTCTCAACCCTGTTTTTAGGGATGTCTGCCTTCGTTATGAGTAAGGAGGTTGCGTCGTAGGATTTGGATGCTTACCTGATTGATAGTGATTTGTATTCTGCAGATAAAAACTGAATAAAAGATATAAATATAATTTCATTGTTGGACTTTTTTTTGGATAAAAGAACGATTATTCTAAATAATACTTCATTCGTTTGAAAATATATCATATTTAAGATTAATTTTTATTATTTTTGATAAATTTATTAATTTTTTTATTAATATTCTTATTATTTTAAATATTTTTTCTATAATAAACATAATTATAAAATAGGGATATAATAGATAAAAAAAGTAATTAATATACACTTTACAAAGTATTATATTTTGAAAAGGAGAATGTAATAGTAATAACCGTAGAGTGTTATTGCAACTACTTATTATCATAATTTTACAAACGTAAATATACTTATAACGCAATAAATACAATAAAATAATATTCACAATATAAATAAAGCCATTACGTGGTTATTTGGAAGTTATTGCGACTCTTTGAGTATTTGTGTTGTGTCCTAATTTAAGTGAACGTTGAAGGCCAAACGACCTCTAATTTTTTATTTTGGGTGAAAAGCAATGACCTTTTATTAGGACTATTTGTAATAAACACTAATGTTAATTTAATTGAAAATGAACCTCTTTTCTTCGTGCCTTCATCAAGTAGTTGAAACTTTTCTTGTTTCAGTAATCAAAACTAACAGGATCATTGACCAACGAATTGAATTGGTCCAAAATTTGACTACTCATATATATATATATATATATATATATATATATATATATATATATATATATATATATATATATATATATATATATATATTATTTGTATCTTGCTTTCCCTCAAAATTGTGTTTTAAATAATGCGTGAACCTATAATTAAAATTTATTTACCAAAACAATATTTGAATTTCTAATAGGATAAAAATGAAAAAGTTGATTGAAAAATATACATGTATTTTAAATAATATATTCACTTGAGATAAATGTTGTTAGAGTTGTAAAAAAGACGACTCAATCCGAAATCACCTTATTCTATCAGTTAGAATATTTTAAAATTAATAATAAAATTAGTAAAAAAAATTAGTTTAACCTATGTAAACTAACCGATAATCTTATTAAATTTTAAAAGAATATTAACATATCTATACATACTCAATTAATTAAAAATTATTTAAAAAAAAATTATTTAGATAAGGCTGCGTTTGTCCCCTCCATAATGGTTCAAATAAGATTTTTATGCTATGTATTTTCATAGGACCACATACAATATCTGTGTGACAAATGGACAAAAAATCATACATGCTCATCTTCAAAAAGATACCTCCAACCTTTTTTTACCTTTGAAAAGCATTTGAACAAGTCAAACCACTTTTCCACCATTTAATTTCTCTTTCTCTGAATTCACAGCACCATTTTTGCATTGCAGGCTCCCAGATTACTTTAATTTTATGGGGAGGTTTTCTTTCACATTCAAATTTCAAGGCCACACTTTTATTCAAATAGTTATCATTCCATTTGCTAACTTTGATTCATATGATTCCCCCACTTGGTCAATTTGCTAATTTAATGCCACAACCATGCTCCGTTCAATATATTAATTAATAAGCTCTACCAGTTAGTGCTCAAGTTTGCATAAGCATCTTTGTGTTCAAATTTTCTCGACCATATTCAAAACAGATACTAGTTGTGAAGCACATGAAGATATGCACATACACTTTAATATGAACTTGACTTTCAGATATCAACTTTTTCTTGGTCTTCTCATAATCTACATTAAGATGAGACGAGGGACTTTAAGTAACCATATATAGCATAGCCCTAATGGTTTAGTGCAAGTGGCTATTACATGCATGGCTCTACCGTCTAGGCTTTAAGGGATTAAGGTTGACTTGTAATGTTATAGGACACTACCCTAACACCTACAGTAGAATCTAATGCTTTGTTAATCAAGTAGGAAAAAAAAAGGAAATAATCACTGATTCTCCACTAAACTCGTGGAGTATGAGACTTTTTGTGCTTCTATAAAAAAAATTAAATAGAATGGGATTAGAAGAGATTCACGTTTATGTTTAGATTAAAGTTTAGAGTGTATTTTTGTTTTTCAAATTTGAATAAATACTTTTTATCATGGTCAATAAGCTTCTAAAACAAATTTGAAGAGTTTATAGTAGAAAATGTCAACTCGTTGATGACTTTCTTGTTATGCCTTTTTAGTTGCTTGGAAGGCCTTGCCGAATGGGATCTAACTTATCATGCACCTTCAAAAATCTCTTTTTAAAAAACCATTTCTTATAAAAATTGAAATAAAAATGTGGCATTAGGTTTCCATCCATAATAAGTTTTAAATAACATGGAATCCAATAAGATTGAAATAAAAATTTGCTAAGAAAAAAAAGTATAATTGTACTTTGAAAGCATGAAAAGAAGAGAAAGAAAAAGGAAAAGAAGAAAAATATGGTTCTTCTTAGCATAGGAAGAACTTTTTTAAAAAATAGCTCTTTATTATATCGTTCTCATAAAATGTAAAATAAGATGAAAAGAAAGAATTATATTCTTTCTATTTTTTAGAGAAAAAAATTATAACTTACTTCTCTTTCATTTCTTTTCTCTCATCATACGTGTTTGTTTCTGTGTTTCAATGACATTCAACAAAACTTTTTACTTTCCAAAGCAAAAATGTAAAAGAATTTATATGATAGATTGATGTTCATTTGGAAACAAACACACCTTATAATTAAAGATAAGATCACTTAAGTTCGGTTAAATAACTTTAAGCCGTTTGGAGCAATAATTTAAAGTTATATTAATATTTAAAGTTATGTATTATATAAGATAAATAATTATTTTTATACAATTAAGTTTATAATAATTTTTAAGATATCTTTTATATTCTAAATTTATAATCAATAAAATAACTTGTAGGTTAATATAATTTTTAACCACTTAAAAAAAACTATTAAAAATGTAAATACCCTATAGAATAAAGTATACAGATAAAAATAGAGTAGTTTATCGTGATGGGAAGAAATTTATTTAGGCTAGTTATAGAGGTAAAGTGTAAAATATACCTTCAAAAGAAAAAAGTAATATTAAGAAAGCAAGAAAAATAAATGTCTTATTCTAAGATAAAAAGAAATAAATAAAAGTTCAATGCTGATTGTACGTGGTAAAGCAATTCATCCTATACATTTTCCCTTCTACGTTTTGGTGTGAAAAGGGAACTGTAATGGAATCTTCAGTAATTGAAAAAAATATAAAGCAAAGACCTCACTGTAGCTATAATGAACATTTTTGTTGGGTTTAAAGTCATTATTGGTGGTTAAATAAAGTGCCTCACGGTCATCTTGTCATGATTACCATCATAGCACTTAGCACACAGCTAATGGAAAACACATTTCTCAGCAGTTGCAACCTCTGCATATACTTTATGGCGATCTCAGTAGTTGACTTTTGTTTATTAATCATTACATTTGTACTTTATATGCAATTCAGAGGAGCCAAATTCTTTACCATAAAAAGAAGAACCAAATTCACAAACTCTTAGGTATTCAAACAGATAAAGCTGGAGACTGCAGAATGATTATTTACCTTAGTGACCCGTCAATTTAGATAAGGTCCATGATTACAGGAATAAGAATAACAAAAACGGAAAAGAAAGTGCTTTAGCCGTGTAGATTTATATGCCGCAGAAGATTCACAAATGTGAGCAACAAGATGAGGTGCACTTTATAGTGGTGAACACAGATTTAGAGCACAGCAAATCTAAATAAAGCTCGGATCATAATCAATATATCTGGCTTAAGTGAAAGCACAAATTTGAGCTTATTATCTGACCAAAGATCGTATGGTGGCTCTTTCTCCCTCACTACACAAACTGTACTATACAGCAAGTTGCAAATATTGTACAAGAAAGCAAAAGAAACTGCAGATGAACTGCTGTATGATTTGAAATCTCATACATATTGGAGGTCAGCCAGTGGAAAAAGGAGTAGGAAATTAACACATGTATGTCCAATGCGGCTTCAACATCCCACTTTATCTCAACATAAAGGTGATAGTGTATTTTCCTGCTTCTAGTCTAATTGTTTTAGATATGAATTACCTGTCATCAAAATTTAACTGTGATAAGATAGCAATGAGTCAACAGAAAATGAAAAGGGGATCATAACCATTAAATTGAAAATATAGAACATGAACTTCAAGCAGAACATTGACAACTCATTTGATGTTTCTTAAATGTTCGGAATAGGCAGTAATAGTATATATAAAAAGTCATCAATGGTTTCATTATTTTTGGAAATCTTACCCGGTCTGAGGTAGCTGCCTACAGTTCAGCAATTGGTGAGACTGAGGATGCCTTTGCAAGTAAGATGAACCACTTGTAATACCATTTTCATCTCCTACAAATTGTTCTGAGTAACTGGAAGCTGGGGGGGACCATACTGGAACTACACCTCCATCCCTTTCTCTCCTGGTACCACTGGAAGATTCTAAGACTGAATCTTCAGCTACATTTCTCAGCTCTACTGTAGTGTTGTATTGTACTTGTGTATTCCTATAAGCAGTATCCAACATCCGTTCGTTCGATGCAACTTCTGCGTTCTGTTGTGCATCTACATTTATTGGCACTTCAGCTCTGCTGCTCTCTTCTGCTGAGTTTCTAAGATCAGAAGTAGTTTCTTCCTCTTCTATTCTCAGCAGGGTTGAAGTGATGCTTGGAACCATCTGATCCTGATAGCGCCGAGCAACAGGAAGGGGATTGTTCCTAACAGGTTCATGAGTTTCCTCCATTTGAGTGTCTTGAGGAAAAGCAGCAGGAATTGATTCAGAAGAGTCTCCAAGTCCTTCCTCAGTCCCATTTTCCATTGCAGCTCTTGAAGCTGCCTCTAGTTGCCACATTTCTGATAGTGCCTCTTGTAATCTGGTTTTTGCGGCATCTATTCCCACAATTGGAAGAGGATAGTTCGATCCTAGCTCAATTCCAGCAGCTTGGAGCACTGACTCTGGTGCATTCCAAGGATGATGTATCCACTCAGTAGGTAATCTCGCAAGTTCTGGAAGCCAGCGTCGCACATATTCTCCATTGGGGTCGAATTTGTAGCCCTCAAACTACAAAATCCAACAACTGAAATGAGTGCATCTATCCTAATATCTAGGATCGATTTTTCAGCATTCAAATAGTTGACAACAGGACATAACTCAAAACCGATGATAAGAAACTCAAAATTCAATCCTATTGATCCTATACATGGAGGAGTAATGGAAGGCATCAATCTAAACAAATTTGTTAGAGAAAAAAAAAAAAAGCAATTTTTTTTGTAAGAGTTATGAACTTATGATCGGTCGTATAACAGAACAAATTCTTAAGTGAAAAGAGTGAATCAATATTTTTCAATAAGGAGAAGTTGAGAGGAAGTTTAAGAAGACAGGGTACAATGTTATTACATGCACATGCAAACAAATGATCATAAATCCAAAAGGTCACAGGACAAAGATGAATTATGTTGCTTTCACACAAAAGTAACACAACACCTGCGGATGATCTATTCGGTCAAATTCACGACCATCAGGGAGTGTACCAGATATGTACTGCCAACCAAGAGCATCACTCTCAAGATCAGCATCCAAAAGGGTGTCCCAGAAATATTTCATTCCCCATCTCCAAGGAAGCTGCAGAACCTTCACAAAGAAACTGGAAACTACAACACGTATCCGATCATGCAGCCAACCAGTGGCCCACAACTCCCTCATCCCAGCATCCACCAAAGGGTACCCAGTTCTGCCTTGTCTCCATGCCTTAAAATAACCCTCATTTACAACCCAAGGAAAGAACTTGAGGTGGCCTAGAAGAGGCCTTTCATGACTGTAGGGGTGGTTGAAACTAATGTACCTCGAATATTCTCTAAGACCAATAGATTTAAGGAACAAGTTCACACTCTCTTCACTGGCTTTGTTTCCTTCGTTGGCCCACAAAAGTTGTTTGATGCGGACAAGATGGAAGACCTTCTTGACACTCAACTCACCAAAGTGCAAACGGGGTGAGAGAAGTGAGGTAGTGGCACTATCAGCCTTCCTGCAATTTACTGCGTACTCTATCAATGGACCATTTATGAAAGCGGTCAATGCATTGTTAGCATTGCTCCACCCCGGTGACCATGCTCGAGCAAGAAGTGCATTGCTTGCCTTCTCTGATTCATCTTCAAACACCAATGCATCACATGGACATCTCGACACATCACCTGAAAGAGGCCAAGAGTTGTCAACAAGGCAAAATCAAAGCCTGATGGATCAAGGAAAATGAACAATGCCTCGTAGATGTTGCAGACTAGGGTAGATTTTTACATCAGAACCAAAAATTGAACAACACTTCAAAATATTTTTTCTTGAATTTTGTATTCGTTTTTTCTGTTTTTAGTCAGCCATATTTGGAAACTACTTATTTAATTAGGATTAAATGAACAGTTAACTGTAAATTTGTGCATCTTAAATGAACCCTGTTATGGATTGTGGGCTACACGTTCAAAATGTTTCACTCTTAAGATGAAGGTTGACCGAAGTCAATGTTCGGAGCAGGAAATGGGAACAATATCTACATCTGCGTATGGCAGATAGTAAAATTTGTAATGAATAGAAAATACATAATTAAATAAAAACATGAACATTACTCAAAGGAATGTTTTCACAACCTGTTTGTTAACTGTATATGTGGCAGGTACCTAGATATTTATCCCGTATTATTACTTGTTATTGCAAAATTTGTGTTTGATAGTTTTTTTTTCTTACTTAAAATTATATAGATACGTTTGTTAAAATTATTTGTTTAAGATTTTATTATAATAATCCGTCAACAGAAAAATTATTATAATATATTTGATTTAATTTTTTTAATAAGTTTTAAAGATCAATTTTAAAAAAATGAAAATAAGTTTATTAATAACTTTAATTCAAAAATTATTTTAAATAAAAGTAAATAAAAATTTTAATTATTTCATAATAATAAAAATTGATGAATATTATTAACAAAAACAGAAATTAAAAATAAAAATATCTTTTATTAATTTTAAGTTAAAAAAATTAAAGAATTTTTCAAGATGTATTTCAATAAAATAATTATCAAAGAATTTTTCTAATTTTTGAAAATTAAAAAACTTTTTTTTAAATAGTAAATAAACAAGTTTTGTTTTTAAGGCTCTGTTAAGTTATTTTTTAATTAAAATAAAATAAAACCTATTTTAATATTTCAGCCTTTAAACTTAGATAAACTATCAAAATAATTAAAAAGTCATAGTAAAAGTATTTTTAACATTACTTTCAATGTATTTTATTCCTTTAATAAATATTTATGGATATTGATGAACTCACACAGGTATGAAAATATGCATAAAGTAGATTTTTATGTAGAAGGATGGGTAAGGAAGACTAACACGTGTTTATCTTGTTTCATTCCCTGACAAGACACTAAAGATACCCTGTGCATAATACTTTAGAAATATAGATTTATCATGTAATATATAATTAATTTTATTTTAATAGAATTTTTTTAAAAAAATTTAAAAAATTATTATTATTTATTTATTTATTTTTAAGTTATTTAATAAAATATATGATAATTATTTTTAAGTAGTTTACCTTATCACTTCGAATTTTTATAATGAAAAATTGATTTAAGCTATTAATGTTTTAATTAAATATTTCCATAAGTAATTTCGATATGGTATTTGTGATATATCAATTGTTAAAAAAAATTCTTAAAATCCCTCTCAATTGTTACTGCCTATTACAAAATCTAACATGCTGGAAGGATCATTAACTATAGCTTTGACAACTGAAAGGGTAATTAGATATAAATACTAGTAGTATTTTAACATTAATTTGTGCATATTTTCAGTTGATCCAAATCTTGTTCTGTTGGTCCATAACAAAACCAACTTTTTTGGAAACAAAATTTACTTAATCAGATATACTTCTAAGTCTACCCATGATCCAACTACTTCCTTCTCAGGAGATTTATGAACTCTTAATAAGCTATGAAGAAGAAAGGAAAAATATCTAAACAGAATAGGTGAAAGTCCTTCAGAAAATCCAATCATTGGGATGAAGTTGAAAATGAGTTAGTCCACCCCCCTAGCTCACATCTTAAACAAGATTACTGAGAATAGACATGAAATCATATCATAAGTAAACTAACCGTTAATTCTTCTGTATAATTCACAAATTTAACCACTACCCCGGAATACTTTTATTAACCACATGTCCTCTTCCATATTGGTTGAGGTTAAAACCACTACCTCCTTAAGACTATCTTGATGGTAGATAGAGAAGCAAAAACATATGAAAGAAACAATCTATTTTCATATGTCACATATTTTATTACTCACAACTTAACTGAAAGGGCTAATTCTCAACCATTTTTTAGACACTGTCATTCCCATTCCCAGACAAGAAAGAACTTCAAAGATAAGAATCACAACTTGGGAGGAAGACATAACCATGAGCAAGAATAAAGATCCACTTGAAGGACCTATGACAAAGGCTAAAACAAGAAAAACAAATGAAGTTCTTCAACAAGTGTTGTCCATATTATTTGAATACAAGCTCACATTTCAAGGTGAAAATCCAAAGTTGTGAATTGCATCATGACCCAAATGGAGGAAGACTAATGCGTCATTTTGTTTCAGTCTTTAAGTTTGTTTAAATAATAGCGCAATCCTTTGTAAAATTGACTGACCAAATTATGTTTTGGGTTAATCAATTAATAAACTTTAGTTTGGTTTTGTTTGAAGTTGTAATAAGGGTCCAATTGAAAATTTAGGAATCAGCGTTTGGAAGACCAAGAGGGTATTGATCGACTTTTGGTTGTCACAATTTCAGTTACAATCAAAATCAATCATTAAGTAGTTTTCAATTCCTAAGTTAATAGAACATTATTAACATTTATATTTGCCTAGATAAAGTAGTTTTTAATTCCTAGATTAATAGATCATTATTAGCATTTATTTTCTTTTATTGAGTCTTTGTAAATCTAATAGCAAAAACTTCTATATAAGTTCAACCATTTTTATGAAAAGTACAAATTGAGTTTTATTTAGAAATATTAAAGTTTAACTCTTTTATCATAGTGAGAGTGATTCTCCTAAATTCTTGAGTGATTCAAGAACCCTTGACTATATCAAAAGACTTTCACATCCTACTTTCACATCCTTTGTGAGTTGTTTTCTTTAGGAAGAGTGATTCTTTCCTCCGACCTTTCACATTTACTTCTTGTCATTTTTTCACCAGAATCCAGAAATCTCAATTCTGCCCAGATTTATTTCGTGGTCATAACTTTCGTTCTACTTGTCCAAATTGAGTGTTTTTTTTATCCTAAATTGAAATTCATAACTTTTACCTCGTTTTTTGAATTACCTCAATCGGAGTTTTATAACTTGATATTTCGACGATTCAAAAATACTATCCAACCCTGAAACTTTCACTACTTTCTAATCCACCTTTCTTACTAATTTCCTAAATTTCCTACAAGGTTCTAACCCTAAAAATCATAAGTCAACCCTTGTGTAAATGAGGTTCATATCAACTTGACATGTTTAGACACCAAATATGTGAAGCTATAGGGACAACTATTACGGGTTAAGTTCTAAGCATAGGACACCTAACATGCTCCTAAGAAAATTGTTCCTATGTCAAAAGACAGTATCATTCGAATCAACAAATTCAACCCAATTATGACTACTATAAATATCATTGATATTAATATATAAGTATTTTTTTTTGTTACGTTTATGAGTCTTACATCATGCATATACATTTTTTTCTTAATATACTGAGACACATTTTAAATTATGAAGAATTAAAGTTTTAAATCGGACAAATCTTGAATGTAGTAATAAATTTTAACAATATTATCATAACAGACATGAAATCAGGACACTCATTTCCATACAATAACATCATTAATAACTTAAAATCTCACATGAAAAAACTATCTAAGAATATGATGCCTCAAACTTAAAACTCCATGCAAGTAACTATACCGCCAAGGTAACCCTATAATAAATTTTGTATAACACAAAGCTAATGTGAAAGGGTGTGACTAACGCAACTCACCAAAATACCAAAATATTATTTCATAACCGTCCACACAACACAAAGCTAACTAAAAGGATGCCGTTACTATAGCTTTGCCAAAATATTTAATTTCATGCTACACTTAACTTCATATTAATGCAAAAAAGTCGTAGCTAACACAACTCCTCTAACATATAACATATGTCAGTTTAATCACATTAGACATTTATCACAACTCACAACTCGTTAATATTATCACCTAGTGTAATATAGTGTGAAAAGATGGAGCATTTGTAACTCATTTAAGTTTAGAACAAAAACTAAATCAGAAGGAGCCATTGTATTTCATCTTAAAGAGTGAATTCAACTCTTTCAAATTATCCGAGTTATACATCGAGCTAACAATTATATGAATACGTCGTTATACCATAACAATTATTCAAGTATATCATAATAATAATATCATAACACTTAATATCACTAAATCAAAAGAAGCTTCATGTTATTATCAAAAGAACATTTCATCTATAACATTAATTTAATCATCCTCCTTACTTGGTAATAACTCTACCTAACCTCAATCTTAATGATACTTTATTATTGCTTGTTCAAATAAAATATAACTAGACAAAAATAGTTATTAAAAAAAATTATAGTTGTTGAATCAACTTAGTCACACTAACAAATAAAGAGAAAAATAATTAATTCACCACAACCAAAAAATAAAAGTTTTATATACACCTTTTTCTCTCAACTAATCTATTAATATTTTTAAAAGACAAATATGCCACAAACTAAAACTTAAATGCAGACATAGGATATAATAATAAATCTTAACAATTATTTTTCAGCATTTTACTAAATTAAATAACAACTTAGCAAGTGACATAATGGTTTCTTCTCTCATTTAGATAATTTTTAGTAATGAACAAGAAGCACAGATTCAACATAGAATGAATAAAACTAAAAGAAATCTATGGCTAAAGGAAGTGAATGAACAAAAGTAGACCTGGAATTATCCTTTTGGGTGGGAGAAGAGGTGACTCGGGGTCGTAAGGCATGCTTAGACATCTGTCCCAGAAAGCAGCAAAAGTTGTGAATGGTCGACCATGGACATCATTCACATCCCACGGTTCATACAGTAAATCCGCGTTGAAGGAACGTACTGTTATGCCCTGAGCATTCAGAACCTCTTTAGCTCGGTGATCCCTTACAAGTGAAAGGGGATCTGCAACATACCAAATCACAACCAACATTTCACAAACAAGAATTGAAGGAAGTAAAAATGTCATCATGAAGTACAAATAGACAATTTAACTGTATTTTTTAGATTGTCACGCGTCAAACAAAATCCAAAAGATGAATACATAAGAAATGACAAAGTAATCTGTACGGAAGACTAATCACAGACAACCATGTAAGTGGGGCAAACAAATCAATTGAAAAACGGTGATGTCCTGTCCCGTACATTGCTATCGGATAAAGAATTTATCTCAATTCATTTAGTCCATGCTCCTACAATCCAAAATGACTAGCTAACTTCCCAGAATCTGGGGATTCATTCTATTTGCAGGGATGTCAAGCATTGAAATAAAACAAAAGTAGAATACTATTACAGAAAATAAAAATGGAAAAGAAAATTCTGCGGCAGAAAAGAAACAGTTAAATGATCCAGAAATAGGAAGAGGGAACAGAAAACTGACCATATAAATGGTTAAAAAAGAGTTGAGTAGCTCCAGTTGACTTAACAAACTCAAGGAGAGAAGAAACAGTATCAGTGGATCGCTTAGTGATGAGAGGAGTGCCAAGATTCCTGAGAGAAGAATCAAGATGAGCCAAACTTTGTTTGAGCCACCACCTGGAGACTCTACCAGGGTAGTACTGGCCTTCTTCTTCAGGTGCCCATATGAAAACTGGAACCACGGCACCAGCTCTTACACCTGCCGCCAGTGCAGGGTTGTCCTCTACCCTCAGATCTCTTCTGAACCACACTATGCTGCATCCACCACCACCACCACCTCTCATCTCTACAACCTTAAACTACTTTCACACACTCCCCCTCTTCTAACAAGTTTTCACCATCTCGTGTAAAGCTTGTCTCTTTACTCTCTGTCTCCTCAATGTTGAAGAAAACCAAACAAAATATGTTAATCTAGTCTTATCTTTTTTTTTTTAGTTCTCTCTCCTTCTCTCTTTCTTTCTTGTCCTGGCCTATCTGTCTAAATAGTTTAACGGGAGATTTTAAACCATAAATAGGTAAAAGCAACGTTTGATTATTGGGTTGATGACTTTGGCACTTGCGTTTAGTGTGATAATTTGTTTTTGGTGAAATTATGAATATCTTGCAACAAATTCGTATTGTGTTGCTTTCAGTAGCTAGTTGTACGAAAAAGTCGAAATGGTTTGACAGGATGGACAGAGTGAGAGGGATATGTTGGAAGGAAGAGGAAGTAAATAGTAGGATTAGTTAACTGTGTGGGGAAGATACAGTGAACTGATAGGCAAATTGCAGCCACAACTTTTTGTTCTCTAGATTTTTTTCGTTTTTCTCTTCTCTTTAGGCTTATCCTATGCACTATGCGATAAATAAAACAAATCCATCTTCCACGTCTCTCTTTGTATTTTCACACGCAAAAATCACACAAATCCCTCACCTTCAGCGCAAGCATCAAATTCTATTTCATTTTCATGCCCGCGTTCTCCATTTCGCTACACCCCACTCACAACCTGTCACACTCACCGTGATTTTCAGTACACTTTACTTAATTTATGATCTTAGTGTATTTAAGTTGAAAGCTAACTCCAATTTATTGCAAATACCATGACATTAAAATACATTCACTCAGAGTCAAAGCCTAATCAAATATCTAGTTAAGACATAACATTTTTTTACTAATTCTTTTTTTTTTTTAACACATGAATCAGGGAATTGAATTTCTTTCATTAAATATTTAAGGAGGAGGATTTTCCAGGAACCATTACAAGTATGCACTTTCTTGTAAATGTAAACTTCACTCTGTTCTACTATTTCTACACCTAACGCTTACGTATTTCATCTTTCTTTTTCTATAGAAATTGAAGACACCTGATTTTAAACATTCATATAAATACGCCCTGTATCATTATTTATTAAAAAAAGAAAAAGGTTTACTACAAGAGACACTCTTTCAATGACATAATCAAGATGAAATAAAAACAGTAGTAGTAACCGATTTTGGTACAAAGTACAACATTTGTTGTTTTCTATAATTAATTCAGGGATTATTATTATTCACCCATTTTGTACAAAGTGCAGCATTTCTTTCAAGAGAATTTTGTACCCTACAGTAAAATTGAAAGGGTACATCCTTTTAATCAGAAGTTTCTGTTTTCTCTGGAAAACCTTACTGTAAACTTACGCTTAAACTTGAGAATCCAGAGGAGTTTTCACTTTTAATTTCCATTATGCAATGTATGGAGTTGAGATACATTTTGTCTTGGTCATACGATCCAGCTCTGTTCATTGTCGTTACTCAAATCACATATACATATATAATATTGTTCCAGAGAGATCCGGTGTAGACGAACTTCAACAAACCTTATAGAACAAGACAGATGGCATACATGCAGATACAGGTTTCTGGCCCTTCGCACACTGCTCAATTACTCTGTTAGTAAATAATGTTTTAACATGTGGATTCAATAGGATATATGTAAATAACTACATTTTTTTTTTGTCCTATATTTTTGTTCAATCTATCGTCTTCACACGCCTTGAGAAAGAAAAACTGACACTACAGATGTGGCAGAACCACGATAAGATAGGATTGTTTTTTCGTTTTGATCCGTAATCAGTGTCTTAGTTCATATGGAATAAAGATAGTACGATGAGAATAAATTTAAAATTTTACTGTTTAACTTAAAAAATTATAAATAAAAAACTTTAAAGATTAAAATTTCATTTTCGTAAAATTATAACTTTTTATAAATATTTTTTTATGTCTTCTTTTTAAATCTCCGGTTTTCTCTTTTATTTTTATATATCTTAATATTTTTAAAAAGGAAATCATTTTTATCATATCAGAATTTTAAATAAAATAAGTTTTTTTTTAATTTTATTTCATTTTTGTATATTTGAAGTTTAGATATGCATATAGGTCTAAAAGGACTTGGATGTAGACTTTGTTGTGAAAAAAATGAATCTTGACTACTTTATGAACATTATAATATGCTGAGTTTGTTAATTTTAGTTCTTTGTGAGTAGGATCTATCTTCCTGAAAATTTATGAGTTTTTTGGGGGTTCTTTAACTTTGAGGTACTCTTTTCGGGTAAGAGAATTTAGTTATTCTTTCATTTTCATAATACTCTAGGATAAAAGATCTCAACGTGACTTTGTCAAATTGTTTGAGTTTGAGGAATTTGAGTTGTGTGATTATGTATGTGTTAATTTGTGATAATTATATGGAATGAGAATGTATAATTGATTTATATGAGATTGAAAAAGATAATATTTTGTATGAATGTATTGTTCTTAGATTGAATTTAGTGAATTGATTTACAATATGGAGGATAAGGTTTAAAATTAATTTGATTTGGAACATTAGAAACAAAATATTGAAAAGATTATGCAATCTGTTATTGTCTATCCGGCCAATTTAAGACAGAGTTGAAAGCGTTTGACATTTGCTTAGTATTTTCATATTTGCTCAACAGTTTTTGAAATTCGTAAAAAATAGTCTCGAACTCTAAATTTAATGTTCCATATATGCAAATCGAAACCCTGGAAGTAAGGAATACAATAAAATAAAAATTAGTTAAAAATGGTATATACAGAAAAAAATTTATGTTCAAAATAATACGCATAGGTCAATTAGAAAAAAAAATATTTTTTGTTATAATGTGAGAAATGATGTGCATATGTCTTAAGCTATTAAAACACATGTTATGAATATGAATTGAGGTGTATTGGGGAATTACCAAAGGGTATTTTCATGTGTGTAGTGTTTGTACGTATAGAAGTAGATTAAAACAGAATGGGTTTTACAATAAGAGTTGAATTGAAATTAAATGACAAAGAACTATAAATTATTGAGAAAATATCAATTAAAGGCACTTATGATTGATTTTCTTCCCTATTTCTCTTTTGTAATGGCTATGTCAATTAAGAACGTCAATTAACCTAACAATGTTGATGTTACCTACTCAAATCATCCATGTTGATTCCTCACACATGAAATTCATAAGAAAACCTAATAAATGTTGATTCCTCACACAATTAAGAGATTTCTCAGCATTAGGTTTAGGGTGTTAAGTAATTGATACATTCATTCCATTCCTGGCAATTAACGTAACAAATATTCTTACTAGGGTTCAAGATATATTTTCCAATCATATCCCAAACATCAAGAATAAATCATTCCCAAAGCACAAAAGATAAGAATAACAACATCAAAACATAGATTAATATCTCAAAATATCACCATGATACAAAAGAGTTCAAAGGAAGTGCACCAAATCCTAAGAGAATGAAGTTAGCCACTTATGTTGGCCATTATAATGCTCCAAATGTGGAAGAAGTGAAGAATTGATGAAGATTAGACGAAACCCTAGTAGTAATTGCGCCTCTTCTTCTCCAAAACTGCTTGCCCTTCTCAAAACACATCTTCTCTTTTTATAGGAAAACTTAGGCTTTTGGGCTTTGTGTCTTTTGCTCAAGTAACAACTTTCGCTCAAGCGAAAATTGCCTATTTTTGCTCAAGTGACAAAATGTTCGCTTGAGCGAGTGAACTTCAGAGAAGAATAACTAACATTTGCTCAAGCGAATTTTCTTGCGCTTGAGCGACTGACTTCCAGAGAAGAATAACTGATATTCGCTCAAATGAGAGTTCATCCCGCTCGAGTGACTTCCATGCTGATAATCTTCTTCCTTCTTCCAATTATGCTCCTTACTCTTGTATCAAGATATTCTCGAATTCATTCTATATTGGGAGAAAAATATATTAGAATTAACATAAGTTAAGTGGTTTCATAACAATTCAAGGCATAATTATATCAACTTTTTACCACTTAATAAATTATTTCTGTATGTTGCTTTTAACTGTGATGATCGTGTGTTTACATCATAACTTATTTTACAAGTGATAGACCTCAACATGAGTAGGTATGAAGCTAATATTAGGTCTTTTGAGGAGGATTTATTAGGGAGAATAACACAATGAGACATGAGTCCAACCCACATAAGGATTGACATTACTCTTAACTCAAAACCATAAGGCATTGAGTTATGGGTCGTACTTTTTTATATGTTGTTCAACTTTCTTATTCTTACACAATGTGAGACTTAGAATTGCTCAATTTTCTCATTCCTCCACATTGGTACATCCCCTCAAGCTCACTAGTAGTTCTTCCATGTACCGTCGTTCACTATAACAGGACACACTTACCTGACCCATTCTATCAGGAAGACTTTCGATACAAAGACCACTTTGACCTACTGTCGATCAACCTCCAGCTTTGATATCAAGAACACAAATATAATACAAGACGAAAGTAAATAACAAAAACATAAGAAATTAGTCAAAGTAACTTACGTCTACGACTGTACTAGATGATAATACTTATTCACCCAATTAGGTTTATAATTACATAAGTATTTATAATAAAAGAATAAGTAAATGGGTCAAGTCCAATAACCCTTTAGACTCCACATACTTAACAATCTCTCACTTGGAGGTTGATCACATCAAGCACACTCCAAAGTAAATCTAGTAAACCTCAAAGTTATAATAACCTCAAACTAGTGCAATGCATTCTCAACAATTAACCATGAAGGTTAGTTGAAGTTATGCAAAACTTCAACTTCTCAGTAATAACCACTTTGGTAAACATATCCGCAAGATTTTCTAACCTAAGGATTTTCTCCAAAAACAAATTATCATCACTTATTAGCAAGTGACGGATCTTGATCATTGATCTTGGGGGAACAAAATTATATATTATTAATAAATAATAAATAAATATAAAAGAGAGAAGATGAAAGGGTGAA